TCTAATTGAGACCAATTAGGAGACCAACGCCCATAATTGACGTCTTTAGCAAATAAGTCAATAATTTTTTAGGTCTTGTCTTCTATATATCAAGTCTAGATCTATATCTAATTAAATAAGATTATTAGCCTCAAATAGGCAGACATTCTTTCTCTCTTCATATAGTTCATGTCCTTCCTCTGTATATAATTCGTCATAGATTTATTGACCCATTATCAAAGTATTTCGATAACATCTTCAGTTCCAACAATTGCATCCGTATTGAGAAGAAGTTTACCAATACCCAGAGCTCAACATTTTTTGACGACAACTCGTGTTGCACCTCCACGTCTAAAACGAAATTAAGGAAAAATCAATAAATGTTTCTTAAAAAAAAAAAAAAAATGAAGAATCAAACAAAGAACGTTGTCGGACCGTATAAATTTTATTTCTATAAATTTGAAGACATTCTCTGTTATGCGTATAACACTCTTTATAAATAGAAAATCTTTTATAGATGTTATTCCGATGTGATATTGTATTCATGCCATAATCCATGTCACCTTGGGAACTGCAGTATATTACAGGTTACTTAGCATATCTCGAATTTGTTTTTGTAAATCGAAATTGTCATTAAGGAAAAAAAATAATGCAATTCATAAGCTTGAGGGCAAGATTCTGCTTCAACTATAAAATTGGCAAAATGATTTGCAATACATAATCAGATACACCGAGATGCCAGCAAAAGTGATGATAATTAAAACAAAATTTATTTAAGAATATTTTAGACTACCCATTTAACAGGATTAAAGAAAGAGATTAATTGAAAGAGTATATTTAAAAAAAAAAAAAAAAAAAAAAATTAAACCCCAACTTTGAGGATCCCCACCGCCCGACCTTGGAACAGCGTGAGGAAGGTAAATCGTGAGATGTGCTCCAGCAGATTAGGGAACAAGAGCTTGCCCGTAAACTGCTACCCACAAAAAATCCAATTCCAGATATCAAGAATCGAACCCTTACACCGCGGTTACCAGTAAGGCTGAGACTACTTCACTCATGTCATTTGCACCACTGAGTTATGCTCCGGGGGATTAATTGAAAGAGTATAGTTATTTATAATCAACGACTGTAATAGTCATCATATGTGACAGCTTATTATTTTGAGGCATTAACTTGTATATATCGTTTTGTCCTTCTTAAGTGTAATGTTTATTAAATGAATGATTAAAAACAATATTGCAATAATTAGGTCAACGTAATAAAAAAAAAAAATATCAATCTTATTTTTATATATGTTTTTTTTTTAAATTATTTTCCTGCATTTGCCAAATAAATTTTCAAAACGTAGATCCTCATCCTCTTAAGCTAGAAGTCGACCAAAAATAAAGGTATCTTATCTATGGATTCAAGCTCAAACATCAATAATTGATTAATAAAGAAAATGGTGTTATTGAGTGATTAGAAATAATGTTTTAATTGCAGTCCTGCATTTGCCAAATAAATTTTCAAAACGTAGATCCTCTTAAGCTAGAAGTCGACCAAAAATAAAGGTATCTTATCTATGGATTCAAGCTCAAACATCAATAATTGATTAATAAAGAAAATTGTGTTATTGAGTGATTAGAAATAATGTTTTAATTGCAGTTAAACTCTTCAATCATTACTCATTGTAACAATTATTTTCTTAATTTTTTTTTATCGAAATTTTATCTTCAATCTTCTATTAACTAACATCTCATCTTTGATAATGATTTATATCAAAATATTTCCTTTTCATACTTTGAAATGAGCAAAAAAATATATTTTTTTCGCAGTTTTTATTTACTTATTCTAAAAAATAAGTTATTTTACGTCATTTCGATGGATTTTTTGACATAATGCATTAACTAATGGGTTTGAAGATAAAAATGACATAAAAAATCGTCAAAGACATAAATGTTATAATGAACAAAGGCTAAAAAACTTAAATACAAATAAATATGGTGCAAAAAATAAAAATTGTAGTCTAAATATAATGACACTTACAAAAAAACATGTTCCAATGATATACTATTTTCTCTTGCTTTAAACAATATATAAATCATATCGAATAGGGTCTTTAAAAATGAAATATTTGTTTAAAAAATCTACACTTGAAAACTAAAATTATGTTTAGGAAACTCTTCAAATTAACATTTAAAAGAAAAAAACTTTTTTAACTCTCTAAATTCACTTTCTATAATTAAATGCATTCGAAATATTTTAATTTTCAATGCTCCATATTTTAATCCAATTAAATATTACTTCATCCATACCATAAAAAGTGTGAAAATTGAGGAAAATAATATAATCATTTGGATGAAAAATAATGAAAATAAAAGATATGAAAAACAATAAATATATATTGAGAGTTGTAAAATTAAGAGTTAAAAATAAAGAGATTGTTGGATTTAAAATTTCTTACTCTCTAAAAACGAAAAGTTTCCTAGGATCTGTTTGATTGCAAAGATGAAATTGAATTGAATTGAATTGAAAACGAATTTCAGAGAATTGAATTGTCTAAAAATTATTTTCCTGAGAATTGTAAATTAATTGTGTTTGATTGATATAATTTTCTACGTGAAAAATGTTGAAATAAAAGTGTCTTTTGGGGTTCGTTTGATTTTGTTTTGCGTGAAAATTGTTAATTAAAGGAATATATTTTACTGGTATTGAAATGAAATTTGTTTCCATTGTCAAGAAAAAAAAATTTGAAGAAATTCAAGAAAATAATCTATCTTTTGGTGTTCGTTTGGCTTTGTTTTACATGGAAATTGTCGATTAAGGGAAAATATTTTTTTAGAATAATTTTTAAAATTTTGTTTCCATTGTCAATACAAAAAATAAAAAATAAAAAAAAATAGCTACAGTGGCTAGAACTAGCAATTTTCCATGTTTTTATGGAATTCGAAAAAAAAAAAGAAAGCAAGTTCTTTGAAAAAAAAAAACCTATCAAACACCCTAAAAGATGGAAAATGTTCATGGAAAACTTGGTACGATCAAACGGGGCCTTAGATATGTTCTTAGCCTTGTTTAGTTCAACTACAAAGATAAATTAAAATTTAAGTAAAAGTAAATAGTAAATATTTATTTTTTATCATAGGTTTAATGGCTCCACAACTTTTTTGTCACACATTTCATCAACTTTTGTCAAATTCTATTAAATATCTAATTTTTATACCTAAACCAAACAGGGACTTAGTAAAAAAAGATTACAAAGTTTTCCTTACTCGGCCCTCTTTGGTTTGATTAAAAATTAAAATTTTAATAGATTTTGAAAAAAAAAACGATGAATTCTGTTGATGAAATTTTTATAAAAGTCGTGACTACCATAAAATGTGTAATTGAAAATGAGCTTAATAAAAAATGAATTTTAAAAAATTGGGAGCAAACATAACCCAAACCTTGAGGTGCAAATTTTATTTTTATTTAAAAAAAAAAAAAAAAAGGTTTCACATAGCTGTAAATGGCATTTCGATGTTATAGTTCGATTATAGAGGCTAGGTTATAAGATGAAGAGGGCATTTTCCAACTTATTCTGCTAAAATTACATGGCCAAGAGATTTGAGATCGTAGCAAGTAGTAACATAAGCGAATGTTAAATCTACATATCCTATAAAACTCATATAATTAGACTATAAAATTACGAAAGTGAACCACAATAAAATCATGGCTAGTGAACTTTTATTTCTCTACTTTATCCGTCTCTCCTATAAAAAAATTCACGATTAAAAGGAACCAATAGAAATTAATCGTGAAGCCATAAATAATAATAATAATAATAATAATAATAATAATAATAATAATAATAAGAAACTGAAAAGTGAAATCAGCCTTACGTTCGTGACCAACGAAACCTGTTTCTAGATTTTTGTCTTTTTATTTTATTTCGGAGTGTGAAATGGGCTTCAATTTTTTCTCTTCATGCATCATTTTTCAAGGGTATTTATAGATGCTATTATTTGGACCTTTGACTTTCGATTAGCAAACCACTCAATTGTTAATTAATTATTATGCCTATCCACATCCAAAACTTTGAAAACTATACATCCGATTAATCCTACAAATATATTGACAATTCGTTCTGTTCATATTTGGAAAGAGATTTAAATTAAAATTTAAGTGGTGATTATAATTTACAAGTCCTACAAACATGTAAATAATAAGTGGATGAACGGTGATGATAAAAATTGTATTTAACCAAAAGTGATTCGCTTCCTATCATGTCCTAGGGTCAACTCGTAATCGAAAATTGTCCATTTTCTTAATTAAATTTTCATGTCATCTTTCTGAAAACATATTTTCACTTCAATTTTTCGACGGTCAAACCAAAATTAGATTTAGTTTTATTAAAATTAATCTCCTGCTCACAGTGGACTAGAGTTATGTTATCCATCCGTCAATGTAGAGTTGACTTGGAAAACTTTTCCTTTCTTTTGATTTGTCGCCACCAACTTGAACGCCTTGTTGATTAGCAAAGTTATCTTGTCTGTTGTGGACAAGAGATCAAATTTGTTAGTTTTATTCACCAGAGGCTAATCGACTCGATTTTTTTTCAAGATTCATGACTTAAGAATTTTATTTTTATTTATTTTTTTTTTTTTTTGGGGGGGGGGGGGGGGGGGGTGTATTGGAGAGGAAGGGGAATATTATAAATCCCTGTTTCATGATCATTATTTTTAAACTTTTTTCTACGTACTTATTTTTAATGACGAATTTATACAATAAAATATTTTGAACGTAAATTTAAAATTTTTTCTTACTTTTAACCATATATTTTCCTAAAAATCATTAATGAAAATTCTATTATTATTATTATTTTTTATTTTTTCAAATAATGGTTGTCCAATTGGGGTTAAGTTTTTGGGGGTGCGGGGGGGGGGAGGGTTAATGACCGGACCATTTCTCTAATAAAATATAATAACACGTTCACAAGTCTAAACACGTTTGATCGCAGAAATTATCAAGAAACTGCATCAATCTTCCCAACGAGTAAGAAATAGCAGAAAATTTAACGACTCAATTTAGTCCAAATCAATGGGCTTGGCTATAAATAGTATAATTCTCACCATAAAATTCCCTCTCTTCATTTCTCCCACTCACCCACCCACCCACACGCCAACCAAACTCGTTCCTACTATTTTTTTACCCAGTAATACACTTTCACCCATAATAAAAATTTAGTTGTTAAATCCCAGATCACAGAAAACCCAGACAGTATCAAGGAAAAACAACCTCAAACAAACATGAAATTGTCTTATTTTTTAAGTTGTTTCAACACCAATCAAAGCCAACAACAACAAGAAGAACAAGAAGAAACAGGTACGTTGAGAAATCCTCCATGCAGTTTGATTTTGTTTAAGAATGTCATGATATAAGAATCAGTGTTCTAAAAAGAGTAGATCCAGCAAGGCGAAATCGAGATGTAAAAAGCGGAAAGTGTGACTAGATGACAAGATTAGACAAGCTTTTTAGAACATTGATAAGAATATATGAGTAATTTTTTCTTACATGGACTAAACTGAATCCTAGAGCAGGGGGTCAAACTGTTTCCAATTCAAATTTTTCGGTATTCTCTTACAATCAAATCAAAACTGCCACTCAGGGATTTAGACAAAAGATTGGAGAGGGTGGATTTGGTTCTGTTTACAAGGTAATAAATTAAGTTGACGTCAAATGTTCTGATTTTATTTAGCACTGCGTGCCAAACACGTCTTTTATGCAATTTTTTCTTGAATGCTAAAGTTGGAGACTGGTTTGGTCAAATTATAGGGTCGGCTTCAAGATGGGATTTTTGTGGCAGTCAAAGTTCTATCTGTTGAACTGGAATCAATGAGACGAGAAAGGGAATTCATATCTGAGATTGCAGCATTATCTGATATTAAGCATGAAAATCTTGTTACTCTCCGAGGATGTTGTATAGATGGAGCTAAAAGACTTTTGGTCTATGATTACATGGAAAATAATAGCCTCTTGCACACCTTTCTTGGTAAACACTATTCGATATGTTGTTTAATAATGAAATTCATCGTCACTTATCCCATCTTTGTCGAACTACCTCATCCTAACTTTTCAAAAAATGGGTGGCATTGAGAGGTTCAATCAGAACGGATCTTGGTTTATTTTGATACCATGGTTGTTTCTTGATCAACAGGTGGGGAACGTAATAGGATGAAATTTAGTTGGACACTGAGAAGAAACATATCGTTAGGAATTGCGAAAGCGCTTTCTTACCTGCACGAAGAAGTCAATCCTCATATTATACATCGGGATATCAAGGCGAGCAATATACTTCTGGACGAGAATTTTACACCAAAACTCGCAGATTTTGGTCTTGCTAGGCTGTTCAGAGAAAACATGTCACATATTAGTACTCGTGTGGCAGGAACTATGTAAGTGTACTCTGTGAAATCGGGTTTTGTTCATTACCGAATGTTGTTGTTGCTAATCGTGTTTCTTACTGTTATGAATGCCAAAGGGGCTATCTTTCTCCAGAATATGCAACCAGTGGACATTTGACCAGAAAATCAGATGTCTACAGCTTTGGAGTATTGCTACTAGAAATTGTCAGTGGCCGGCCGGTCATTGATTACCATTTACGATACGGAGATCAGTTCTTAGTCGAAAAGGTAACAATTCCGAGCAATAATAGAAGGCCTTATTACGTGGCAACTTGATTTCTTACGAAAAAGAAATGAGGAAACAAAACTCATTTAACATAATTACCCGTGCAGGCATGGGAATCGTACAGTTCTAATAACCTGTTGGAGCTAGTGGATCCTGTATTGAGCGGAGATTTTGCAAAAGAAGAAGCCATTCGATTCATAAAAGTCGGGCTGCTATGTGTGCAAGAGACGACCAAGCTCCGGCCTAGAATGTCAAGGGCCTTTGAGATGTTGACCACTGAGATGGAGACAGAAGAGGTTGAGATATCACGGCCTGGAATAGTTGCTGATATGATGGAACTTAAAATTCGCCAGAAACAGTCGTCGCATTTTTCATCTTCTCAGGCATCCAGTAGTACGGGAAGCTTCCAAGCTCGATGACTCATTATGACGGACTAGAGGTAAATAGAATTCAAGATTTTTTTTTTTTTTTTTTAAAACAAAATTTGGGCATTTTCAACATTTTTCTAATGAAGTACATATGGACATGACTCCCAGGTAATGGAAAAAACGGGTAAATAAATAACATAAATGAAACAATATTTATTATACAGAAGCCATCTTCTTGCAATTCAATAGATTTGACAGCAAGGACAATGATGAAATATAAAAACATAGTTCCAAAGATATGCATAGCTCCTGGCACGCCATACGCAGTTACGACCACCGTCTGATCGAAACTGCAAATGGCATACAAGGAGCCAGGCATAGTTACAGGTGGTTATTTCATGCACATAGTAACATACCTTAAAAGATACAAAATGGGCAGTGCAGGACTAGAATTGGGAAACCAGAAGTTATTGAGGACAGATATGTATTTACCTTTAAACCTGAGAGAACCGTTTGAACTGCATTTATAAGGAGAATGAATGGTAGAATCATGAATTCACCAGGCCCCCACTCAACCCTACTCAACTTTTTCAACTATTACTATCTAAATGCTTTTGAGTTGGCGGTGTAGATAAGAGCTAATTTGCTGAAGAAATGACTTAACCTGAACCATCACTTCCTGTTTCTTTTTATCAGTAGACACATTGAGGGCATCAGCCATCAGAGGAAAAAGTGGGGGGGCCATTCAATTTTTACAAGTGCCCCTTGGATTGTTTTTGAGTTCACATTTTCTCTTGCCAGCACCAAAAAGTACTTGTTTCGTTTGGGAGTGCTTGGATGAGGGCTGGCTTAGAATCTTGGATTCTAATTCTTGGCAAGATTACTCATTAGTGCTTTCTATTTCATTTGATAAGATTAATCTAACTTTATTAAAATAGTTATCAACAATTTAACATGATCAACTCTTGAACTAAAGGATTTAAGTGTTGCGGACTAAATGAATTGGACAACTTCATCAAACTGATGCAAGAAAACTTTGATTTCTCAGTCAACAGATTTTCGCGATAAAAGTAGAGCTTCTCTCAATACATATCTAACTTGTTCATAATCCACAAAAATTCACACGAACCCGGAAAAACTGGCTAGTCTTTGCCACCAGAGACAATGGCAAACATGTCCAAGAATAATGCTATTTATCTAAAGTGATGATCATCATTGGTTTATGTGATAGTGGAGCAATGCCATACTGTTCAATAAAGAAAAATGCATTCCAACTTTACCGAAAAATGTTTTAGTGGCCCCACTGTCACATAGATAAATAATGATCATCGCTTTAGATGAATAGTATTAATTAATATACAAAATAATGGCACAAGACAGCACAAGACAGGAGATAAGAACACGGATTATAATGTACTTTTATCTCATAATTTTATTGACTAATATTCATATTGATTCAGAAACAAAAGGCAGGCAATATCCCTTTGTCATTCGAGAACAGTAAGTTGCAGCTACTAGACTTAGTATTTTTTGCTAATTTATCATTTCTATATCATTCAAAATTTTCATTATTATAATCTCAAATTGTTAGTTCAACATTTCCAAAGATGTAAGGAGACGACACGATCCACATGTGACATTGCATGCCAAAACTTTGTGAGACATAGTCCGAGCATTTCTATGTTTAAAATAGAGAGAATAACTGGCGCAAAAGAACCCTAACATTTACCGGTTTTGTGCAAAAAACTCTACCTTTTATTTTGATGCAATATCCCTTAGATCAAGCAAACATTGTGGAAAACAACTTTTCTCATTTCCTCTGTTAAAGCCTACCCTCCTCTTTAAAAAATAGAAATTAAATTTTTTTCCAAAAAATACCTTTCTTCACCGCCGCCATGATCACCATATCTTTGTATCTCATTAAACCCACCTAAGTACCCCTTTACCACACCATTGCCACCCCCTCACACCACCAACAGAATCAAACCTAAATCCAGGCCCATCTCCGCCATAAAATCCTCCAATCCACCACTATCACCTGATTCTTTTTGTTTATTAAAAAGATGAGGGTAAATTTTGTGATTTACAAGGCTTTAATGGAGAAAATGGATGAAAGTATTGTTTTTTGCAAAGTTTGGTTGATGTGAGGGTACTGCGCCAAAATGAAATATTAATATTGCTAAGCGCAAAGTAGAGGTTAGGATTTTTATTTTTTATTTTTTTGCGCTAGTTACCGAAATAAAAATAAAAAGAGAAGCGGTCTATGTGCGTCACAAAGTTTTGAACTCAGAAGCGGTAAAACTTAACCCATGGTAGGGTTGTGACCAACCTTAGGCGCTTACCTAATTTGACATCCCTAAAGATTGAACATTTCTTCTACGGTTCACTCTAGATGCATCACCCGTCCAGTATCTATAACGGCCACACTAGTAAAGAAACTCCTAAAGTTGAAGGTGCATCTATTGCTCTATAATCCACAAACCTTTCACATGGAAGTAATTCTTTCCCATCGCCATAACCTCCTTTCGACCCTTTTGCCCAAGTTTAAAGTTTTAGCGCACACGCAAGCTTTGTAACAAAATTCTTCAAACATATCCTAAATATGAAAAATAAGCCTCAACCCACGCACCCCTCTTTCGTTCTCCTTTCAACAGACAATTTTGGAACAATAAGATATGAAAAATTGAGGTGAATGATTTGCCATTATACTTTGAATTGTTCAACATTCAATTACAGGAGCTTGTTTAATTTCTAAAGAAATCCACTATCAGAATTGGACAAATCAAATTATTTTCTTCAAATAAAAGTATAGATAATTTTTCAGAAAACTTGATATCAACCTCATGACACAGGCTTCCGACATGTAATGATAGCGAATTTGATAAGACCCTTCTTGTATCCTTCGATCATGAATGGCATGGCCAGTGCTCCTTTAATCGTCTTCCATCCTAAAATCCAAGCGAAAAGTACAACATAAACCACCAAAAATAAGATGAAACTGAATATTCGGTTAATGGGATTGTAAAGGACATTGGATTTACCACTTCTTAACAATGAGGCGATTCCTTTCCATGTCAACGCTGACTTTATTACTGCTGGCCAAAACGGGGCAACATACGCAGACCAGTCTGCAGCTTTAATATCCTGGCACAACAGTTCGGGTCGTATTTTAGATTTTGCTCAACATTCAAGTGATAATGAATGGATTAGACCATTACCTGAAGAGAGAGGGATTCAAGTAATTTTACATAATCTGCTGTAGAACACCATGCAGGAAGATAAAAAGCGTCACATATCTTGTTTAACAGCTCTTTCTCCTCTGGACGCAATGATTCTTCAGTAGGGGAGAGATTCCTATGACACCACGTAACTATAATTATCGTCCCACCTGGAGCTGCCACTCGAGCCAGTTCATTGACAAACTACCAGTACGAGAAGGCAAGGAGGTAAAATCACAATTGGATCGGTCAAATGAAAAAATAATAATAAATAAATAAATTCTATGTAAGTATCAGATAGACTAGGAAGGTGATAGCAAAAATAGAACCTTTGATTTGTCTGGCATGTGTTCTCCACTCTCCATGGACCAAACCAAATCAAATTGCCCATCCTGAAATGGTTGATTCAATGCATCGGCTACTTGGAAGGAAACCTATTTAATAGTGTGAAACCTCATGAGCCACCATAAGCGCATACTGCGAGCCTACTTTAGCAAAAACATAAGATTATACTGCCAAATAAAACTGAGCAGATAAAATAATTTGTTAGAAGTCAATCAATCCATATATGCAGCATGGCACCAACAAAAAAGAACCATTTTACCCTCAACGCTTGATTAGAAATCTATATATAGGCATGGATGCAAAATTTGAATAGCTTCCTCCCGAATAGCCATTTCTCCTCTTGTTCCTTATAGAGCATCAAATTATTAAGTTTAGTAGGGAAAAATCCTCACTCGGTATGAGGAATTTTTTAATCATCATTTAGAGGTCAACATCCTAGTTTAGTGAGTACAAAACCCGGAAACTCTAATGGAAAACAAAAACTGGTTTTACCAGAGTACGGCCCAGTTTGGAGCCTTTTAAATCAATGTGATTTTTTGGTCATTGAGAAATCACGATAATAAGGCAGTCACACACCCCTTATCCAACACAAAAGAGCAGAAACAGTCAAAATTCAGTCTCTTTACCAGATTGGTCCCGAAATCTCACTCAAAAGGTGCTGAGTTGGAATCTTGGCTAACTTTTAGTCACTCCTATAACACACAGCTAAAGTGTTCTCCATGGATATGCTAACTCTGAATTTTCTAATGACTGCTATGGCATAGAAATTGGTACAGAAGAACTGTAGCTCTGATCAGAAATTCCATTTACAAATTCACAGAAACAACATCTACTCAGAAATCTCAGAATTGGCGTCTTCATTTTCATCAAATAAAATCTTTCTCATTTTCTATCCGAATGACGATAGCTACGAAAAGTAAATTGACACATTGAATCACAACTGAGATGTAAATTTGCAGCTACCATAGGCCCCTGAAAATGGATTCTTAGATATGATCTCGGAATAGAAATTAAATGAATATCTCTGTTTGATCTAAACATGTCTTTGCATTTTTTGCAGAAAATAGACTTCTAACTTAGAAAAGGCAAACTAAAATCCTCTAGATACCTTGTCGTCTAATCCTTGAGCAGCAGCAAGAGCTTGCGCCCTCTGTGCTTGCACAGGGCTTAGAGTGATTCCTTGAGATCTCGCCTCATATTTCCTCGCCAAGTACCTTGAACTACCTCCTATACCACAACCCACATCAACTATTTGTCCTGGTTTCTGCATTGGATCGTCTGCATATAATGTCATCCACACAGAAAAGGTAAGCTTTGTAACTCGTATGCATAGAAAAAAGCTAGTGAAGGTGAAAAATCCAAGTAGGTAGTAAGGGAGATGAATGTAAGCTTTCACCCTGAAGCCACATGGGAATAAGCTTATATAAGAAAAATGATGACTGTAAATTAACCAAAGCTATAATGTAAATTTTCTTAAACACCATAAACCCAGAATAAATAAACAAGCTTTTGTCTTCATGGACTAGATTCTATAAGGAAATTTTAATAGGGACTGACAGCACAGTTTATAATCTGAATAAATAATGAATTAGTTAGCAACTCAAGCATTTTTTAGCATTGAAAATCAAAAATTAGCCGTTCAAGATTTTTACTTCTCTGTTTCACTCTATCCATTTAAAACCATTGATAGTTAATTCTTCAAGAAATAAACATGAAAAAGCATGCCCAATTCTCAGTTTCAACTTGTCTTAAGGACAGAAATAGAAAGGAAATGGCCAAACTAAGATAACAATAACAATAACAATGATACGAACACAAACTATTCGAAAATGGAAAATAAAACGAGAAAAGTTGAAAGGTGGGATAATTCAAGTAAACTCGGACCTTCCGAAATGATTTGCAGAAATTAATTAGTTGACAACTTTTATCCGTTGTTTACATCTAAATGATTAAGTAATCTAACCATTATCTTCTTAAAAATTCGGGACCTTTCTTGCATTCTTACACACCACTATCCACACATAACGTTCTAAATTAAACTAAATTTACTGGTCCATAACAAACAAGTAATTACGACACGAACCAGAAACGGAAGCGAAGCGGAGCGCCTCCTCGATCATGCGGATTTGAGCGGAGCGGTGGTCGGAGAGGGAAACGGAAGAATCCGGCTCGTAGAATCCATGGTGCATATGGTCTCCCCATATATTTTCCCATATTCCCGACGATTCATCGTAAAACTCCGCTATCCCCTTTTGCAAAGTCTCCGTCGCCGCTGCATTTACAGTCGTCCGCATCCTTCTACCACCACCACTACCACTTACGGCCGTAATATATCTTCTCTTCCTAATCCTAATCCCAGTCCCAAAATCCTTTGTCCAATCACTACCAGCACTGCTCAACACCTGCACAACAGGTTCATTCCGGCCAATTATCTGAACTCTGCTAATGAAAGTAGGGTGGCCCGGGGCCCTCTGAAGCGTAGTGCCAGATTTGCAGCTGCTACAACTACCAACCATCGTTACTTTTTCCGATGAAGACAAAAGTTAAAGAAAGTGCGTCTTGCTGGCTATGAACGTATTAATTGTTAATGGATTTAGCAGTGCACATTAAAAAATATCTCGTAAAAATCATCGTACGAGATTTTTTTTTATATGAAATAAATAGAAAACTATCCTCTGTTTGGGATTTCTTTTGCTATAATTATAAGTTGGTAGGAATATGAGGATAAAATCAATGTTTCACTTTGAAAATAAAAAGTTTTGTATTATCTACTTTGCTACAGAACAAAATAATTATAATTCAAAATTATATAGAGCCCTGTTTTTTGGCCTAGCCAAACAGGGCTTTCCCATTATATATGTATTTTTTGACAACCACATGGAGTTTATGATCTAACTGTAAACTACAGAAGAATAATCAACTTCTTATGTGGTAATATGAATGTCACGTTTACACGTTATTCGTGGGTGTTGGAATCACGTGCAAAAAGCAAACATTCCAAAAATTGGATAGTCCATGTTTGGTATTAAATTTTTATCCCAAAAAATTAATGTTTTAATCATTATTTCATTATTCAAGCCGTATTTTTTTACTTCGTCTCTCACATGTAAAATTCACTTTTCTCTTCAATAGTTAAAAAATTAATTCTCAAAATCACTATCGAACAAGAGTATCCCAAAAGTACAATGTACTTAGCGTGTATTTGTGCCACATAATAAACTTGTCAAATAAATTGAGACTGAAATTATTGAATTTCATATCCCGAAAGTATTATAATTTTTCTCACTATCAAAAATAAACTAATCGAGTAAAGAACTCAAATCAACAACCTAATAAGAGTACAATTTTGATCGAAGCCTTTATCTCGAAATCTTACCACCACCTTTAAATATAGAAGATAAGATATGTTAATAATTACCACTTTATTAAAAGTTTCAATCTTCCAAAGATTTCAAAAGTACTAATTAATTCTCTATCACATTTAAAAAATTCTTATAAACAAGATAAAATTGATGAGATTTCAAATCTTCTTCTACTTTTTGGAAAATAAATTTTATAATGAAATCACATTCAACCATGCAAGAAGTTTCTAAGAAATTAGCTGAAAAAACTTCCTAATCTCGAAAACAATTTTTAACTTTTCAAAAATAATCTCGATCTTCCTCGTCAAAATGGGCAAAAAATTGTGTATGGTCAAGAATCTCGTCAACTTTGTTTGAATACATTTTAATATTTTAATTAAAGAGTGATACAATCATTTTGGATGACTACATGACAATAGTTAACAAAATTGAGCCTTTTTTCTTTCTTTTTTTTTGTCTCCCATTATGATAGAAAATATAGAGTTTTTAATGATATTTTTTGAAGAATGTGTGGTTAAAATTTAAAGAAACTTCATTGGTTTGTGTGCAAAATATTTTATTGTATAAATGTGTGATGAAGATTATTACTGTAACAAACAATTTAATTTGTTAAAAAATGACAAACAGGAGCTTAGACAGCAAGCATTCACTATCTACCATAGATGAGTGGATAGTATTAAAATTAAATTTGTTAAAGTCTTGGTTCTCCAATTTTAATTTCATTCAATTGTTTTATTTTTAAATTTTAAGTTAATAAAAAATCATGTATATGAGCTTCAAATAAAATGAGATTTTTCTTGAGTAACATTTCAATTCATTTTCTCAAAGAAGTGATCTCATGCCCACGCTCATACACATTAAACTGTAAATAAAGTATAAACGACAGTCCATCTTAAAAAAATAACAATGATACGAACACAAACTATTCGAAAATGGAAAATAAAACGAGAAAAGTTGAAAGGTGGGATAATTCAAGTAAACTCGGACCTTCCGAAATGATTTGCAGAAATTAATTAGTTGACAACTTTTATCCGTTGTTTACATCTAAATGATTAAGTAATCTAACCATTATCTTCTTAAAAATTCGGGACCTTTCTTGCATTCTTACACACCACTATCCACACATAACGTTCTAAATTAAACTAAATTTACTGGTCCATAACAAACAAGTAATTACGACACGAACCAGAAACGGAAGCGAAGCGGAGCGCCTCCTCGATCATGCGGATTTGAGCGGAGCGGTGGTCGGAGAGGGAAACGGAAGAATCCGGCTCGTAGAATCCATGGTGCATATGGTCTCCCCATATATTTTCCCATATTCCCGACGATTCATCGTAAAACTCCGCTATCCCCTTTTGCAAAGTCTCCGTCGCCGCTGCATTTACAGTCGTCCGCATCCTTCTACCACCACCACTACCACTTACGGCCGTAATATATCTTCTCTTCCTAATCCTAATCCCAGTCCCAAAATCCTTTGTCCAATCACTACCAGCACTGCTCAACACCTGCACAACAGGTTCATTCCGGCCAATTATCTGAACTCTGCTAATGAAAGTAGGGTGGCCCGGGGCCCACTGAAGCGTAGTGCCAGATTTGCAGCTGCTACAACTACCAACCATCGTTACTTTTTCCGATGAAGACAAAAGTTAAAGAAAGTGCGTCTTGCTGGCTATGAACGTATTAATTGTTAATGGATTTAGCAGTGCACATTATACGAGAGATATTTTTTATATGAAATAAATAGAAAACTAGCCTCTGTTTTGGGATTTCTTTTGCTATAATTATAAGTGGGTAGGAACATGAGGATAAAATCAATGTTTCACTTTGAAAATAAAAAGTTTTGAATTATCCACTTTGCTACAGAACAAAATAATTATATAGAACCCTGTTTTTTGGCCTGACCAAACAGGGTTTTCCAACTAGACATGTATTTTTTGACAACCACATGGAGTTTATGATCTAACTGTAAACAACTGAAGAATAATCAACATTTTATGTGGTAATATGAATGTCACGTTTACACGTTATTTGTGGGAGTTGGAATCAGTGCATATTTGATATTAATTTTTTTATCTCAAAAAATTAATTTTTTTAATTATTATTTCACTATTCAAATCGTCATTTTGACTTCTTTTCTCACGCATAAGATTCACTTTTTTCTCCAACGATCAAAAAATTAATTCCCGAAATCACTACTGAACAAGAGTATCCCAAAAGTACGAAGTACTTTACGTGTGTTTGTCCCACGTAATAAACATGTCAATTAAATTGAGATTGAAATTATTGAATTTAATAACCCGAAAGTATTATAATTTTTCTCACTAGCAAAAATAAACTAATTGAGTAAAGAACTCAAATCAACGACCTAATAAGAGTACAATTTTGATCGAAGCCTTTATCTCGAAATCTTACCACCACCTTTAAATATAGAAGATAAGATATGTTAATAATTACCACTTTATTAAAAGTTTCAATCTTCCAAAGATTTCAAAAGTACTAATTAATTCTCTATCACATTTAAAAAATTCTTATAAACAAGATAAAATTGATGAGATTTCAAATCTTCTTCTACTTTTTGGAAAATAAATTTTATAATGAAATCACATTCAACCATGCAAGAAGTTTCTAAGAAATTAGCTGAAAAAACTTCCTAATCTCGAAAACAATTTTTAACTTTTCAAAAAATAATCTCGATCTTCCTCGTCAAAATGGGCAAAAAATTGTGTATGGTCAAGAATCTCGTCAACTTTGTTTGAATACATTTTAATATTTTAATTAAAGAGTGATACAATCATTTTGGATGACTACATGACAATAGTTAACAAAATTGAGCCTTTTTTCTTTCTTTTTTTTTGTCTCCCATTATGATAGAAAATATAGAGTTTTTAATGATATTTTTTGAAGAATGTGTGGTTAAAATTTAAAGAAACTTCATTGGTTTGTGTGCAAAATATTTTATTGTATAAATGTGTGATGAAGATTATTACTGTAACAAACAATTTAATTTGTTAAAAAATGACAAACAGGAGCTTAGACAGCAAGCATTCACTATCTACCATAGATGAGTGGATAGTATTAAAATTAAATTTGTTAAAGTCTTGGTTCTCCAATTTTAATTTCATTCAATTGTTTTATTTTTAAATTTTAAGTTAATAAAAAATCATGTATATGAGCTTCAAATAAAATGAGATTTTTCTTGAGTAACATTTCAATTCATTTTCTCAAAGAAGTGATCTCATGCCCACGCTCATACACATTAAACTGTAAATAAAGTATAAACGACAGTCCATCTTAAAAAAAATTGGGAATATGCAGCCTCCTGGAGCATAACCTAGTGGTGCAAAGAACAAGAGTGAGGTAGTTTTAGCCTTGTTGGTAGTCGCAGTGTGAGGATTCGATTCTTGAGATATGGAATTGGATTCTTTGTAGGCACCAGTGTACGGGCAAGATCTTGTTCTCTGGTCTGTTGAGGCACATCCCGCAATTTACCTCTCTCACGATACTACAGGGGGCGAGACAGTGAGCGCCCTCAAGGTTGGGGTTCAACCTTTAAAAAAAATAAAAATAAAAATTGGGAATATGTGGACAAATGATTTGGTTAACAACTTAAGACTGAATTTATAGAGATGTTATTGTGGAGATGTTAACATATTGATGTGTATATCTAGGAGGGTGTCTAGGAGTACTTCTCGCCAAACTGTAATGAGAATTTTGCTCGATCTATAGCACGTAGGTCCCATGTTGGCAGTAGTTTTTAAAATAAAAAAAATGAAATATCGAAAATGCCAATCTATCATGACAAAAGAATTAAATGATAAGGGTAAAAATGTCATTCTGTCGAAAAATGGTCCAACATTTTTAGCTGCACATCTGACACATTAATTAACGCATTGCAGCCCGAGTCCCACTTACCTCATCCAACGGTCAAAAAAAGCATTTCACAGGTGTAGACATAAAAAAAATAATAATAAAAGAAAATAAATCAAATGGATTGGGTCGATTTAAATCACTAGCCCAATTAAATTTTAAGTCTACTAATGATCATAAAAATCCAAAGTCCCATATCACATTTTAAATAAATAAAAAAATAAACAAACAAACAAACAAATAAATAAAACCATAATTACTCAATTATCTCTTTTAATTAAATATAATTGGGTAATTACCAAAATTTGCACAAATTTTCTCCTATAAATGGACCAATAGTCCATAAAAGAAGGAGGAGGTGAAGAAGAAACAAGAAAGAAAGCAGTGAATGCCACGAAGTGCTGAAAAAATTTTAAGGCCGAAAGAAGGGAAGAAATTCTCTAAAACCTAAAGTCGGTGAACCCCAAGAAGATTAAAATCTTCTTCAAATCAAATAGGTTCACGCCAAATTCAAGAAGATTAAAGTTTTCGTCAAATCAAATCAAATTCAAGTCCTAGTACAAGCCTCAATATTCAAGTTTTGAACAAGTCAAGTCTCGACAAATCAAATTTTCAACAAATTCTCGAAGGTCAGGATTCAAGCCACGCGACCTATCATCTTCAAATATTCAGATCATTAATCAGAGGATTTTTACAATTTTGCAATTACAAGAAAGTCAATATCACTTGTATTTATCAAAATACAATTTGTAATGATTTTTGTATTTTAATACATGAAATTTCGTTTTACAAATTTTTTTGGCACGCCCGATGGGACCTTCTTGTCCTATCATCTTTTGATCTTAAAATTTTCAAGTTTCAACTACTACATCAGCAATAGCAGGCAAAAAGGCGAAACAAACTATGACTCATCTTGAAAAGACACTTGCCAAACTCTTTCACGCGACCAAGGGACAAACAAAAATTGGGAAAACTCAACTGGTCATACCACTAAAGAAGTTCTCCAACAAAGGCAAAATGAAAATTGCCTTCAAGAAGCCAAACTCTCATTCGACAGAAAAGACCACGAGTTCAACGAAAAGTTCTCGTTCCGGCTCCATCTCCAGTGGTAGATCCTTATCTGGATCCCCTCATGCCAATTCTCAACAAAAGTGGGAAGATGATGTCTCATCTGAAGAATCACTTGAGCGAGTGATGGTTACAGAAGCGGTATCGAGCTTAGATGACCGAATTCAACAAATGGCCTTAGCCATTGAAAAGCTAACAAAGTCATTGAAAGACAAAGATGCATTGATTGCTGCACTCATACACAGGCTAGAGTCGCAAAATCCACCGACTAAAGAAGATCTGGAAAATTCAGGATCTTCCAAAACCAAAGAGTTAGACGTCCAAGAGTCCCAACAAAAGCATGATATGCACGATCGGAAAGTTGTTCAAAATGTGTTGCGTGACATCACTCAACTCTCCGTTGGCTCTCTGTCCGTCCAACAACTTCAACATATGATTGCAGACACCATTCGTGCCTAGTATGGTGGTTCACTACAATCTTCTTTAGTGTATGCCAAGCCCAATAGTCGTCGAATCGACAAAATAAAGATGCTACTCGATTATCAACCTCCAAAATTTTAGTGTTTTGATGGAAAGGGCAACCCAAAGCAACATGTTGCTCATTTTATCGAGATATGTAACAATACAGACACTTACAATGACACCATGGTGAAGCAGTTCGTACATTCCCTCAAAGATGTCGCGTTTGAATGGTACACTGACTTACCAATAGGGTCAATTGATAGTTGGGATTAGCTTGAGAGAGAGTTCCTAACACGCTTCTACAGCACCCGACGAATTGTCAGCATTCCAGAACTTGCTCGAACAAAACAAAGCAAGGAAGAGCCTATTGTGGAATACATTGAATGCTAGAGAAACCTCGTACTTAATTGTTAAGAATGAATAAGCAAAGCATTTTCCATCAACATGTGTGTACAAGGTATGCATTGGGGATTACTCTATAATCTCCAAGCAAATATGCCTCACTCATTCGAAGAATTGGCGACGCATGCTCATGACCTGAAGCTCCAAATTGCAAGGCAAGGAAGTTATTTACCGAGTGATCCACGCAACAAGAAAGATCCTAAGAAAGAGATAAAGAAGGATGCCAATGCAAGTAAGTCCAAAGAAGCTATGGCGATTTCTACTTTCCCTGCAAAGATAGCCTTCCAGGTGTCGAGCTCGAACCCAAAACCAAAGCCAGAGTTCATACCTAACAAAAGACAAGTCCAGAGCAGAGGTCATGTGACTCTGAAAGAACTTGAAGGAAAGGAGTACCCGTTCTCATATTCTAAAGTTTCTGGAATTCTAGATCAACTCCTTGAACAAAAGATAATCGAACTTCCAGTATCAAAAAGACCTGAGGAAGCTGGTAAGATCGATCGTCCTAAATACTGTAAATTTCACAGGATCATTAGCCATATAGTAGAAAAATGCTTTGTTTTGAAAGATCTTATTGTTCGCCTGGACAAAAAAAAAATAAGATCAAACTTGAAACTGGAGAAAATCCAACAGTCGCCTGCTCGATGGTTTCATTTGGATCATTTAATCCAATTCCCATTGCAGGAAAAACAAACATTTTCTAATATACAAGATGCTTGTAAATCCTCATTTAAGGAGTTTGGACCCTAACTTTCAGAAGAAGCCATCCTAGTGAAGTTTGAGGTAGATGGAGAAATCACTATCAGTTATGTCTATCCATGGATGGATAGACCAAATGCACCCAATCGTCCAACCTTTTATGAAATTATGACAGGAGACTTGAATGTTTGGGATTCTGACTCTGAATCTGAAGACGAGATTGATAACGATTGGTCCATCTTCATAATGAAGAAAGAGAAATACCGAATGTC